AGTATAATTACATTTTCTAGAACTGAAATAAAGAACACAGAGACAAACAAATATGTCATCATTTGGAGAGTGGAGAAGAAATATAAATTTGGTCAGAATGCTTCCCCAATTTCCCAGCCCATGTACTCATAGGAAAATAAACATTTGTTTCACATTTCACAAGCGATGGTACATAGATTAATCATCCTAATACACAAATGCTTTTTCTTATAAGAAAGATCTGGAGGTGACCCTTAATATTTGTTCCTCAAGGGCTTCCTACTGGAATTTAAAATAAACCATGGCTTTTTCATATACATACATACATACATACATACATACATACATACATACATACATACATAATACATACATATAAAAGAGCCATGGTTTATTTTAAACTCCAGCAGGAGTTTATATATACTGGTATATACTGTATATATTAGGGTGAGAGATTGTGGATTGTAAAACAAGATTTGCGTGTTGAATTTGTGCTGAGGCAACTGCTTTTTTTTTTGCTTATATGAAACAACTGTTATCCATCACTGCACATTCAGTCAAGATTTTAAGATACTTTTGGCAATGTGATAAACTGAAATGTAGACATATTTCAAACAAAGTCATTCTCATCTCTCATCATGACTCCACCCCATTTAACAGTGCCAATTTCAAGGTCTCAGCCTTGCTTGTCTGTTTCTGCTTAATTTATTGTACTCCAGGAATGATTTGCGGTGGCATTCTTATATGTGTGTGGGGAAGGGAGCAATATGATAGTACGGAACTGGCACTAACCATTGCCATTTCACTGCTAAAGTATAGATTTTATCCACAGGCACACCGTTTTGCAGTGAAGCATCTGCCGGGGAGGTAGGAAAAAAGTCCCCTCGTCAGATGTTGGGCAGCAGTAATGAAGAGAGTGTGAACAGCACCGAAAAGCCAAGGCCTAAAGTGGAGAAAGAGCCCAAACAGACCACGATAGCTGCTCAGGCTTCCATCTCTTCGTCGTCACCCTCTCCTTTCTCATCTTCCTTGGCCTCGTCTGCCCCCACCCATAGTTCCTTGCCTCTGCAGGGCTCTCAGTGTTCCATGACTAAAGCCTCCCAGCAACCTCCCATCGTTTACCTTCCCAAACTGATGTATGATATAGTGACCTCTGCAGACAGCACAGGCCTCCCCAAGTCCTCCTCCCTCTTGCCTTATCATTCAGTGATGTGGGCAAGCTCTTTTCGCCCTCTCATGAATAAAATGATGACCTGCACGGAGCAGTCCCTCTATTATCGCCAGTGGACCGTTCCCAAGCCAATCCACATGGACTACAACAATCGGAATGAAGGGAGGATGGATACTTTTCACCCAAGGAGGCTGCTGCTGAATGGGCCACCCCAGGTATGTCACAGGGCCAAAAGTAATTACTCCTAATATCCTCTGTTTATCATTTCCTTTTCACCCTCTCATTTTAAGAAAACAATTGTCTTGCAGGATAAAACTACAAGTGGTCCCCGACTTCGTACAGTACCGATGGTTTAATGACCTTTTGAATTCTGATAGGCAAAAAAAAAGTTACTTATGATCTGTCCTCAAAGTTACGTCTGCCGTACCACCCCACAGTCAAGTGATTGCATTTCAGTTGCTGGCTCTCATTTATGACAGATTGCTGCATTTTATGGTTATATGATTGTGTTTCGAGGATGGTTTTTATCAGTGGTGGGATTCGGCCGGTTCGCACCACTTCGGCAGAACCGGTAGCTAATTTTTTGTTGCCCAGGCCCAGAATGGACTTCCGGAAGCGGCATCCACACAGAGAACCGGTTGTTCACATATTTGAATCCCACCACTGGTTTTTATCATTTTCCAGCAAAACATATCCATTGGATAAGCTGGTTTTCGAGTTAAAATCATATGATTTGTGTAATGAGCACTATGACTTACTTAATGATTGTCATAAAATTGAGTTCAGTCATATGTGACCACAGTGACCAAAATTTCGGGTTCATTTGTGGTCATAACCCTATAAGATGATTACCATCATTAATCACCAATTTATTATATAGCTCCAACATCAGCCCAAAGGCTCTGAAGATGGCCTTAAAATACACTCAAATCTCTGCAATCCTTTGAAATAATTTTTCTCCTTCAGGCCCTGGACATGGAAATAATTGATCCTTTTTTTCTCTTCTTCAAGTGGTCTGCGAATTCCTATTTCATGACCACAGTGGACAAATCCAGGGTTATAGATTATCTTAACTAGATTAATGTACAGTTTATCAAAATAATTTACTGTTCTTCCCCTTTGTCGCCATGCCTAATCAATGCCTTCTTCTCAGTTTCTGTGTGACTGTTTTGAGTCTTGGAATAATAGTTGTAATAATAATCGCCAGCACCACCATCACACAATGTAGCCAGTATATTTAATCCAATATGGCCTTATATCAGACCTGGACATTTTATGCCCTTCCCCTGGCCATATCTGACACTTTGTCTGGTCTGGGTGAGGACAATCTGAAATTAAATAAGCGCACCGCAGGGGACAGGAGAAGAAACCGAATCAGGTTCAGCTCTGCACAGTTGCGATGGGCTCCTTCTGTCAGCTGGTGGCTGCAGGAGGATGAGTAGAGAAAGGGCTTTTCTGAGCCTGTTTGTCCCTTACCTGGAACAGCCTGATGAGTTGAAGTTATGTAGTTTGAGGACATCAAATCAGGTTATATTGGTTCAGCCCTCCACAATGGTCTCAGTTTCTCATCTGGCCCCTTGTCTTATATACTGTATTTGCAGGATAATATTCTGAGTGCAGTAATGTGCAAGCTGTGAAAAACAGAAAACTAAAGATCAATAGGGACATAACGCTCCTTTGCATGTTGCCGAATTATAACTCCCAATGCTACAAGGCTGTGATGTCATAGTAGGGCAGATTAGAGATTTCAGATTAACTTCAGATTAAGTGGCAGTCATCATTTATATTGGCAGATTCTAAAATACCGTATTTGAATCAAACATTGTTTACTATTCTGATTTATGTGTTTCCAGATAGGAAAGACTGGTGCTTATCTACAGTTTCTTAGCATTTTATCTCGAATGTTGATTCGGCTGACAGAAGTGGATGTTTATGATGAAGAGGAGATCAATGTTGGTATGTCTCCCATACTTATTCTTTGGGAAACTATATTTAAGTCCCTTGTTATTTGATTTTCTTTTTCTGGTATCCTTAAGCCTTATCTTCCTTTTTTCCAGTATTTCATTAACAAGAGGTCTTTTACAAATCCCTCTTTTTATTTTTTTAAGACTTTCACATTTACCATATTTTGCTCTTGCTGTCCCTAATAACTATTGGTTTCCCTTTGCCTTCTTTGCTGATTCAATTGTAGAATTGGAAATACCTCAATAAAATGTTACTTGTGGGAATATTCTTTTGAAACATTAATCTAGAAATGAACTTTTTCATGTTGTTTGGAAGCTGAGTGTTCAGACATGCTTTTCAATTAATTAAAAGCGTATCCAATGCTTGGGGAGCTTTCCACCATACCTGTGCACTGTTTTGGAGATTATCATCTGGATGTGTCCTAATTTCTACTACCTTTTTTGGATGCTATAGAAATGACACGTATAGGTTGTCCTCATTTAGTGACTGTTCGCAGTTACAACAGTGATGAAAAAGTGTGTGACCAGTCCTTGCATTTAATGATCTTCACAGGTCTGTAAAATAAAGGAAGACTGAAGTAAGATAATAAGCAGAGTTGCAATTTTACTTAGTGACTATTTCACTTAACGACCAAATTGGCGGTTCGATTTGTGGTCACTAAAAGAGGACTGTCTATCTCCTGAAACTGCAGGTTATAATTTAAATTATAGGTTCCATGGCAGTGAGATCCAATGAGTTCATTTATCAGAGCACTTTCCCTGACTTTCAAAAATTATGACTTGGGAAGTTCTCAACCTTTTATTTCAGCTGAGTTAATTCATTGTTCCAATACTAGAACTTCTGAAGGGTTCAGAAGCCATTACTTCTCCCTTTTCAAACAAAAGATGTGAAACACAAAGCCAATTTCCATCTGGCTTAATTCTTTTGATGACAAAAGAATTTGTGTTTTGTTTACAGCCATCAAACAGATGGATGCTCTTCCTTCCACTGCAAGGATAGTGATCTACAGAAAGAGGATAAAAATTTTTTTTCACTGTTATTAGTTTTAACTAATCAATATTTGAGTTTCAGCAGGGGCTGCCCTGTGATATAAAGCATTGTAGTGAGATATAGCTCAGGATGTTAAAAAGTTGTACATGCTGATCCTCCCTAAAATATTTGATTTTTACGTTGTAACTAGGCTGGATAGTGCTTGGAGGCATTCATGTAAAACGAGGTTTTGGTCCCATCCTTCCTTCTACATTGAATAATTCATCATAAATGCCCACATTCATTAAATGTGAAAAAGAATTACCTTGGTTGCATTGTGTGAGTTTCTTCTGAAATCTAGCTTACCCCAGTCTGTGTTTATGTTTTTGGATTTCCTTTTTGTTGATAATACCACAGATCTGAAAGAAAATTCAGAACAATATTACCATCAGCCAGGAGACGTGTGGCCTGATTTAGAAACATTTAAAAAGATGCCTTTTGATTATACAATCCATGATCCAAAATATGAAGACGCAAGTCTCATTTGTTCAACGATGCAGAAGACAAAGAGTGATGGTCAGGATATCTGTTTTCTTTATTTGAACAACTTATTTTTGTACAATTTTTATAGAATAAAGTATTGCAGGAGAAATTGTTGTTCAGAATCTTGTTTTACATTCTGGTCTTGGAAGAAATTTGGGTGGGGTGGGGTAGGGAACACCACTCAATTTGGAAGGCAGTCAGTTATTTATATTCTGGATTAAATAATGGTTAGCTTTATTGACATAATTCATCTCTTCCCAATCTGACTTTGAGCATTGTACTCACACAGCTAATAGATGCTGTGTGTGTGAAAAATTGGGATCAAGAAAACAGAAAAATAGTTTGAAATTTTTGTTCATAGTTACTACAGAACTATTAAACCATCCACAATTACTTGCAACTAGTAAGTTATTAGCTAAACCTGATACTAATTAAAATAAAACTGCATTATTTTAGTCCAGTCTTGGCAATAGTGTCCAGTATTTGGACATGTTGGCTTGGAAGTCTTTAAATAATATTCTGAACACCTCTGAAAGACACCAGATTGGATAACTATTCAGAACTATATTCTAAAAAGGGCTTAGTAATAGCATTAACAGAAGGCAATATTTTGACAGAATGGTTGACATTCCTCTACTCCCATAAGGAAAATCCATTTTTAATCTTGTTTTGGTTGCAAGCTAGTATAGTATTGCAGGAGCTAATGAACAAAGATGTGCTCATCCCTTTGTAGAAGCGGGTGTGCCTTTTAGTGATACAGTCAAAATGCATTTGTGCAGATAGATCAACAAAGAGAAAATCGGAGGATCTGTACATGCGCCGTCAGACAACTCGGATGAGATTATCCAAATATGCTGCTTACAACACTTACCATCACTGTGAACAATGTCATCAATATATGGGCTTTAATCCCAGGTATCAGGTAAGATTTATAGAATCTGCAATTAGAAAATTCATTACATTTCAGGGACAGCAGAAATTACTGAAGTATTCATCAGATTAAAAAACTGGGAAAAGACGAAACATGGTTTTATGCAATATTATATTGAATAGGCTGGTCCATGTCCTTTTGTTGAGGACACAATATTATACTCACTTTGCTAATAATCTAGGAGTCAGCCTCATTAAACCAAATCGCTTAGCAAATGGAAGCTTTTTTCAACTTCACAATGTAAGTCTAGAGCAGGGGTAGGCAACCTTGGCTACCAGGCTATGCTGGCTCAGGAATTCTGGGAGTTGAAGTCCACGAGTCATAAAAGAGCCAAGGTTGCCTACCTCTGGTCTAGAGTGAAACCCCAGATTTCCTACTGGTATTCTTTTCAAGTATTCAATTCAGCCCTGCTTAACTTTTTCAAATACCTACCAAGATGGACTTAGTCCTGCCATCGAATGAACTCATGAAACTGAAAGCATTTTTAAATACATACGTACAATGGTGGCATTCAGCCAGTTTGCACCACTTCGGCAGAACCGGCAGCTAATTTTTTGTTGCCCAGGCCCAGAATGGACTTCCGGAAGCGGCATCCACACAGAGAACCGGTTGTTCACATATTTGAATCCCATCACTGCATACATATATATATATACAGCTAGTTTTTTAAAGAACTTATTCCTCAATAGCAATAGCACTCAGACTTATATACCGCTTCACAGTGCTTTAAAGCCCTCTCTAAGTGGTTTACAGAGTCAGCGTAGTTACCCCCAACAATCTGGGTCCTCATTTTACCGACCTCGGAAGGATGGAAGGGTGAGTCAACCTTGAGCTGGTCAGGATCAAAGGAATCGAACTCCTGGCTATGGGCAGAGTTTGCTTGCAATACTGCATTCTAACCAAAATTTGCATAAATTTCAAAATGCAGCAGATTCAGAAATGTATCCATTCTGACACCAGCTGAAGCTATTCTTCTTGATGTTCCATTTTATACCTTAAATAATCACCAGTTTAAGTAAGTGTATCTCTTTAAATCTACTAAAAGATGTTGGGGGTTGGAACATAAAAATCTGTATTAATTAATGCAACCTGTTTATTGTATTAAGATGTAGTTTGCTTTTCTGCCACTGTTATTATAGTCAATAGCATATATCAATATCAGAGCTGTCAAAAAGAGCAAATGTGGTATGTTACACTTGTATCCTTTTTCCCCCTCAGCTTTATGAATCTACCTTGCATGCTTTTGCCTTTTCCTATTCAATGCTTGGAGAAGAAATTCAGCTACACTTCATTATCCCTAAATCGAAGGAGCATCATTTTGTCTTTAGCCATCCAGGAAGGCAGCTGGAAAGTATGAGATTGCCTCTTGTCACAGATCAGGTAGATAAAGAGCAATTTGCAAAACTGTTATTCTAGGGCAGACATGTCAAACTCGCAACATGACGTCGTGCAATGTATTGGGACAGTTTTGCCATTGCCGGCAATGGGGTGGGCACGGCTTCCGGATGACGTGTCCGGCCCACGGGCCAGCAGTTTGGCACCCCTGTTCTAGTGGATTAGAATTTAAACTGCTTCCAGGTGATAGTATAGATGGATTGATTGATCTTATTATAGAAGATAACCCCTAAACCAGGGGTCTTCAAACTTGGTCCTTTTATGACTTGTGGACTTCAACTCCCAGAATTCCTCAGCCAGGTGTGCCTAGCTGAGGAATTCTGGGAGTTGAAGTCCACAAGTCATAAAAGGGCCAAGTTTGAAGACCCCTGCCCTAAACTATCCAGTAAGAAAACTAGAGTTGAACAAGGGTTTAAAATGGCCTTTCAAAATTTTCCATCATGTTTGGAAAGACATTCACATACACCCTGGGCTTTTCTTAAATAGTGCAAGAATGCTACTTTGCATCCATTAAAATGTCCTTGAAGCTCATTTTTCCTTTAAAATAATTTATACAGCAAATTCTCTTTTATCAAATAGAATGAACTTGTATACTTTGACAGAGTAATCAGATATGATTTTATTTTGCTTAAACATAGAAACACACAGCGGGCCTACTTTTTATCAAGTTACACACTTGGTTTATTGAGTTTAGTACTGTTGATTGCCAGTGGCTCGCCAAGGTTTTAGATAGAGATTTTCTGTTTTACCTGTATCTGAAGATCCTAGGCCTTCAACATGAAAAGCATGTGCTCTGTCACTGAGTCCTTTCCCATCCTTAAATTTCCCATTATTAAATTTTACAGTCCAACTATAAAACAGTATGTACGTACATACATATGTATATATTTTTGTTTATATATGTGTGTGCATATATGTATGTGTGCACATCTTTGTGTGTGTGTGTGTGTGTGTGTGTGAGTATGTATGTGTGTGTTTGTATATATACCGTGTTTCCCTGATAATAAGACTGGGTCTTATATTTACTTTTGCTCCAAAAGACCTATTAGAACTTATGATGTTTTATTTTTCCATGTACAGGAGGCAGCGAGTGCGCGGTGGCCACAGGCCCACCCTCCAAGCAGTAGGTGGAGGCAGAGGCATGGGGGAGATACAGGCTAGACTGGACAGTCAAGAAAACGTGGCCAGCTCATCATTGCTTGTGTCGGGGGGCGCCTGTGGGGGCCTGAGTGGGGCTGGGTGGGATCCATGGGTTTCTGGCAGAGGGGAGTGGGATCAGGGCGGGCACCAGGGCCTGATCCACCAGAGGTGTCTTGCCAACCCTCTCGAGCTGTGCCCAGCCTGGCCCTTGAGCTCCTGGGGTGCTGGGACCCCACGACTCAGCCCTGCTTCCCCAAAAGACCATCTGTCTTTGCCCGTAGCTGGGACAAAGCAGGCAGCTGCGCAGTTGCCTGGCACATATGGCAGGTCAGATCGCGTACCACCCCCGACATCTCTGCCTCCACCTGCTGCATGGAGGGCAGGCCCAGCGGTCATGGCACTTAGACACACCTGTGCTGCGTGGGCTGTGGATTCCAGAGGCAGCTGGGACTCCACAGCCCGTGCAGCACAGGTGTGTCCAAGTGCCACAACTGCTGGGCTGGCCCTCCCAGCAACAGGCAGAGGCAGAGATGACACGCTATCTGGCCTGCCAGATGCGGCAGATGACTGTGACTGCCTGCCCCGTCTCAGCCATGCAGTTGCGGGCAAAGACAGACAGTTTTGGGGGGAAATGGGGCTGTGCTGCAGGGCCCTGGTGTTCCAGGAACTGAAGGGCCAGGTGCCCACTGCCCACTGCCCCAGGCAGCCCATGCTGCCATTTGGGGACCCTCCATGACCTGAGAGAGTAGGCGAGGTCCTCCGGTGGATCAGGCCCTGGCACCCACCCTGGTCCCACTCCCTCCACCGGAAACATCTGGATCTCTCCCAGCCCTGCCTGGACCCCCACAGGTGCCCCTGACGCAAGCGATGTGAAGTGGCCACGCCCACCCATCACGCCCATGCCCACCCGGTCACCTCTACTCACCACTTGCCTCACCTCTGGGGCTTATTTTGGGGGTAGGGCTTATATTAGGAGCATCCTGAAAAATCATGCTAGGGATTATTTTTGGTTGGGTCTTATTTTTGGGGAAACAATATATATAGAGAGATTTCTATGTATTTATCTATTTGTGTCTGTAGTTAATTGGCTAAGATATGAATGTGACGATAATTGTATAGTTATTATTTGGTTTAATGCAAAATTAATAAAGATGCTAGTATGTTAACATATGAGTTCCCATCCCCATATCTTGTATGTTTGTCTTACATTGGCTAGTAGCAAATACAATTCAGTAGATAGTTTTAATTATACTCTTTATTTTTTCTTTCAGTTCTCATTCTCCCAAAGGAGAATTAGTTGCAATTACCACTCTCTAACTGAATAATTAATTGAACCATGCTTTTTTTTCTTATCTAAAATATTTCTAATGTTTTCACTATAAACTTTAGACATACTGGACATTTGGCTTTATAGAGACTGGGGGAAGCATGGAGCCCTGTCACTTTCTTCCTTTGTTTACATTTTCACATGGTTCTTTGACTTTGAGTAGAATAGTACTTTTCCTTTTCCTCCTCTTCTTTCTAATCATTTACCCATACTGTTGATAGGCTTTTGTAAATATTAGATTTACAATATGTTGTATTACAATGCATTATATTAAACCATATAATATCATATACATCCCTAATTTTACAGAGCCAGGACTACATAAAGAGCCCAACTTTTACTCCTACAACAGGACGCCACGAACACGGACTTTTTAATCTTTATCATGCAATGGATGGAGCCAACCATTTGCACGTTTTAGTTGTCAAAGAATATGAAATGGCAATATATAAAAAATATTGGCCCAATCACATCATGCTTGTTTTGCCAAGTATTTTCAACAGTGCTGGAGTAGGTAGGTACAAGTTTTATTAGTTACTTCTGTGAATAAAATAAGGGTATTAATTTTAGCTGGCAGCACTGGTAGAATAATTAAAGCAGGAAAAACTCTGGGGAAAATGTAATCCTGCTTGAGCCTCTTTTTGTGGCCTCCAAAAACATCCCACGATTATGCTGCCAGTTTGTATAAAGCAGCAAAATAATCCGCTCTTTTCAATGATGTAATTTCAGCTTATCCTCTACTATAGCCCTTGGCCACCAACATCAATAAATCAATAAAATACAGATTTTGCCCACAAAAGGATTGAAACGCTCATTGTATAAACTGTTGATTAATTGGTGAGGAACGACTTTACTCTGATTATGTGCCATCAAATCAGTGTTGACTCTTAGTGGCTTCATGAATAGATTTTCTCCAAGATGATCTACCCCTCAACCTGGCCTTTTAATTCTTCCCAACAGTGCTGCCATTGCCATTGTAATTGAGTTGTCCATCTTGCTGCTAGTTATCCTCTTCTTCTCTTTCCATATAAGCTTCAGTTTAGAATGATCAATAACAAACGAAGCCAAACACTTTTTATTTGTAGGCTTGGTGGCTATGATATTACCGTATAACACTCTGAATGAAAAAAAAAAAAGTTATGGGACTTCCGGTGGCAGGCGACTTCGTCGGTCGCAGCTGTTTGCTGCCTCCCGCCTGTTTCGCGTAAAAGCCGGTTTGACAGCCAGCACCAGCTGTCAAACGGCTTGATACCTTTCCCCTGGGCATAAGGGGATAGGTGAGCTGCCCGGGGTAGGAGTTGAGTTCCCGAGTCGTCCTATATGGACGATGTAGGTGAGA